ACAGCTGTTTTGAACGCACTCCGAAAGACTGAAGCTAAGCAATGCAGCAAGACAGAAAAAAAGACTAGCTATGATATTTGCTCACTGCTTTTACAGAGCTTCGGATCGTATGTGTTGCATGCATGACGAATCACGAAAGATAGGCACAAATATGGTGGAAACACAGTCCATACAAACTGTGAAATCTCACACACGCAGCCAGCAGAGTGGCGCGGCGATAGAAACATAAACACGCGGTTCACACACACACACACTGGCTGTAGCTAAGGGGGGGCCCACAATGGGGCGCCATGCCCCCCCCTGTGATTTGGCAAACAAAACAAACCAAAAAAAATCTTCCTTGCCTCTCCACGCGTCTCTCACAGCGAGCTTCGCGCCCCACTAATTCCTGTTACTTCTGCCTCATCTGCTGAACGATACATTCTGCTAAACATGAGCTCATTGTCACAGTTCTAAAAACTTCGCTTTCCTACAATGACCCAGCCACGCAAATTCTCTGCCCCTCTCATTCTCCTTTCGTTTTGGAACCAGGAGTTATCTGTGCAATGACTTAATGTCAACGAAATCCTCAAAATCGTTCTGTGCCAAATCGCACACTGCAGAATTACTTGACTTTGAGATTTAATGAACTTCTTTCCGCAGCAGCACAAAAACATGTACTAAAAGATAATAGCCGGATAATTCTTCTTTTACTCACGCATTTGTTAGTTGTTCTGGCACATGTTGCCGCTTTTGATTGAATTTTATGGTTCTGCACTCTTATTGACAGATAAAAAAGACAACATGGAAATGCTTTCGTGCAATAACTTTAGATATATTCGAAAACTTATAGACGCGCCATTTGGCATCCACCTCGGTTTTTATTTCAAAATCGATTTCAACACTATTTTAAGTAACTGTTCTTCATATTCGAGGGCGAAGCGCAAATAAACTAATTCTTTTCATTGATCTGAGGTCTGGAAGCGATTACATGGAAAATACGACGACCAATACCCGTGGCTAAAATTAGACAGCAACACACAAGGTCTCAGATACAATAGCCTGAAACTGTATAAACGACAAGTAGATCATACACTCAAAAAGAAATCATTTAGCTTTAGAACCGTCAGCGATTGGAACTCCCTGCCCGAAGAAATTGTCATATCAAAAACGATAAATGAATTCAAAAACAAAATTGACAGGCATTGGTCCCACCTGCAATATGACTACCTAAACTAGTCACATAGTTATGATGTAATGTCTAATGATCTGATCACATCATGTAATGTATACAATGGAAATTTACCTTCCAACGTATACTCATAATATCTAGGCTACAATACCACGACCAATACCCAATTTAGAATCATTTAACATCGCGAGGGACTATGAACAAAATTGAGGTTTGATGTATTAATTAGACCGGATACAGGCCCTCGGGCCTATTCCTGTAAACCGCTATTCTAATACTAATAGACAGACACATAAGAACGTATGACAAACACAGAGTGTAACGTACAACAAATGGTTCTATTTATGATTATGGTAGTACAGAGAAAACGTTATAAACCTCTACGGCAAAATGTCACGTACGTACACGTATAACATAGAATAGGTACTGATCTCAATAGAGTTTAACACAGAGTACTTATCTCAATAGAGTTTAAAACATAGACAACTTATCTCAATAGAGTTTAAGACATAGACGACTTATCTCAAAAGAGTTTAACACACAAATGCAATAGCACTAATACGACAAGACAATCTATAATCCATACTCACATCTCGAGACCACTCGGTGATTCTCTGCTTTTCTGTTGGAAAGCTCTTCTATTTATTCTAACTTTTACGTCCTGCTTTATACGCTCTTGAAAATATGCCACGTAATTATGAGAGAAATATTTAACGTATAATTACATCACCTCACATATCAAGATTTAGTCATGCACAATCGCGCGGCCGTGGCCGTTACCCGCGCCGAAAGGGTTAACACATTGCACACGGTATCAATGTTAAAATCAACATGCTTTGTAAACTCTAGTGTTTTAAATAAAGGCTATCCACGGAAATTGCTGTTTCGCGGGAAAAATAAAGGGGAAAATCATAGTGGCGGAAATGGAATAAGAAAGCGGAAATTTTCCGTCAAATGCCCCCCATGCCCCCCTTGGCGCCGCCACTGGGTGAGAGACTGAGGAAAGGCAGCAGGGTAGATAACTGAGGGGCGGTAGAAGCAGAAGGAGGTTGAGCGAGGACCAAGGGAGGCAAGGGGGAGGACGGGAGGGGATGAAATAGGAGTTTTGCACCCTACAGGATAGGGTGCTCTACTAATTATAAACACATGTCTACTGATGAGAGATTATTACATAAATCTATGCTGAGAGCCTGATATACCCCCTAACCATATTAAATGCACATTCGTCACAAAATATAACTCCTCTGGTGAGATATTGCGCATGCGCTAACAAATTAACGTAGCCAGATTGTGCACCGACTGTTATATCAGCGACAGAGCCGTATATAAATAGTTGAGTGGTGGTAGAAGAAGAAAGAGCCTAAGCGAGGGGCAAGTGAGGCAAGTAGGATGACGGGAGGGGATGAAGTAGGAGTTTTGCATAATGTTTTGTNCCCAATTTAAAATCATTTAACATCGCGAGGGACTATGAACAAAATTGAGGTTTGATGTATTAATTAGACCGGATACAGGCCCTCGGGCCTATTCTTGTAAACCGCTATTCTATTCTATTCTATTCTACAAACATCAATATGCCTGTTCGTCCACCAATTTCTTACTAGATAAACAAGTACGGAAAACCACTACTCTGTGCTACTAAATACACCATGAAACTAGTTCCCTAGTATTTTAGATTGTACGTAGAAAAGTAAGAATTATGTCAAAACGAAGGAAGCTACGCGGTTTGTAATACTACCGGAACATAGAATAAGGACCAGTGAACAAAATAAGCTCATGTTTGTATACATTTCTATTTTTATTCACATCGAACTCGTACGACAAAAAGTAGTGAAATCAGTACCAAATACGTGTCAAACTCCTTTGTCTTTATTAACTCCTGATATGAAATAGATATCAAGGGGGGTGGATCGATATCAATTAGATATCAAGTGGGCAAGTAGTATACGGCAAGTGCGAACGAGCAAACGCGCGATCCAACTTTTCAGCTATGTACAAATGACCTATGACCCGATGACGTCATAGGGCTCCAGTGCATAACTACGAACTGGCTTATTAACTGATTAATCGGTAGAATGCCAGTCACATCACTTCTAATTGCATGGACATCGCCTTTCAGGATTTCTTCTCCCATACAAGCCTGAGTGTACGTCACTCGAGTACACTGGAGAGTGTGCATCCGTATCCACACGTTTAACGTCTGACGAATTAGCTGTTTAACCCTCAGACCCGTCCATCACATCACTCACGATTGATTGTACATGGCTTTTCTTCGATGCGACTGCGTGCGCTTGTGTTTTGAGAGCGCGTTCGAGGATACGAACCTGAAAGAGCAAATGTCACACGTGTACGGTTTCTGGCCGGTGTGCGTGCGCGCGTGCCTCTTGAGATCGCTGGAGGTGGTGCAGGCGGAGCCTCACATGTCGCACGCGTATGGTTTCTTTCGCGTGTGCGTGCACCCGTGTCTCTTGAGACTCGCCGGCTGCGAACACCTGTACTCGCATACATCGCACGCGTACGGTTTCTCTCCCGTGTGCGTTCGCATGTGAGTCTTCAGGCTGCAGCGGGAGCAAGTCCTGTACTCGCACGCGTCGCACGCGTAAGGTTTCTCGCCTCCAATAATAAGCAAACTGGGCGCTGCCACGGCACCGTGCGACTTGTGCTGCCCCCTGGCAAAGTTACGCTTTGGAATTTTTATATTTGTGCACATCACAGCAAGAGGGCGCTGTCGACAGACCAACGCAGCAGCGCGACCGCCAGGAGGCGCCACTATCTACGAATGTGACGAACTAGTGGCGGATCGGGAAACAAAACAAAATAGAACCAAAATCGACCGGCAGAAAGAGTGCTAGAGCAGCTGAGAAAAATGTTCGAGGGGCTGGTGTTGAATGACATCCACCATTACACTCACGTTCTCACTGGCAAGCACGAGTAGAGAGGAAGGGAGAGAGTTAGGGAGGGAGGAAGGGAGGGAGGGAGAGAGAGACAGAAGGAGAGGGAGAGAGAGAGGAGAGGGAAAGGAGAGGAGGAGGAGAACTGTTAGAGGGGCTGGTGTTGAATGACATCCACCACTACACTTACGTTCTCACTGGTAAGCAGGAGTAGAGAGGAAGGGAGAGAGCGTGGGAGCGAGGAAGGGAGGAAGGGAGAGAGCGCGAGAGAGGGAGAGGAAGAGGAGAGGGAGAGGAGGGGGAGAACTGTTTGAGGGGCTTCCAGGATTTTCTCTCTTGTATGAGAGTGAACGTCTCTGGAGTCTACTGGAGAGAGTGCATCCGTATCCACACGTTTAACGTCTGACGAATTAGCTGTTTAACCCGCAGACCCGTCCATCACATCACTCCCGATTGCTTGTACATGGCCTTCCTTCGGTGCGACTGCGTGCGCTTGTCTTTCGAGAGCTCGCTCGAGGATATGAACCTGAAAGATCAAATGTCACACGCGTACGGTTTCTCTCCCGTGTGCGTGAGCGCGTGCTTCTTCAGGCTGTAGCGGGAGCAAGTCCTGTACTCGCACGCATCGCACGCGTACGGTTTCTGCCCCGTGTGCGTGAGAAAGTGCATCTTGAGGCTGCTGGAGCAGGTGTAGGCGGAGCCGCATGTGTTGCACACGTAAGGTTTCTCTCCCGCGTGCATGAGAAAGTGCTTCTTGAGGCTGCTGGAGCAGGTGTAGGCGGAGCCGCATGTGTCGCACACATAAGGTTTCTCTCCCGCGTGCATGAGAAAGTGCTTCTTGAGGGTGCCGGGGGTGGTGTAGGCGGAGCCGCATGTGTTGCACA